CAGTGTGCGACCTCACAAATGCGCTTCTGGAAGAATGGTCAAAAATTCCCATAAACACACTCCTAAACCTTGTGGACAGCCTTCCCAGAAGAGTTGAAGCTGTTCTAGCTGCAAAGGGTGGACCGACGTCATATTGAACCCTATGGATTAGGAACGGGATGTCACTTAAGCTCATATGTGAGTCAAGGCAGGTGAGCAAATACTTTTGGCAATATAGTGTATGTCCGCAAATAAACGGAATAATGCTCGAAACCATTTCTATAATCAGAAAAGTCAGGCACTCTTGAAGGGCTGATGGAGAAACCAAAAAATGAAGCATAAATGAATCAATGTATATGGAGTAAGGGATTGAGTGGGCGATAGTAATAGCTGTTGTTAAAGTCAAACAAGCCAAAAGTGCAGAGATTAGCACTGTCAGAAGGTTAGAAGAAATTTATGAAAACACATAATAACGTCACTATGGACCTTGGCTCGGTCTGTACCAGCTGTTTGGTTGCTCTGGAAACTCTGCTGTTTTTAATCTTGGAAATGGCTTTGGGGGCATAATAATGTTAGATTCAGTCAACAGTTGCTATCCTTTTTGTCTCCTAGTGTAATAGAAAGAAAAATAGACATTGTATCAAGAGAGCATTGAAGCGCCTCAGTAAGGAGAAAGCAGACCAGGGTTTGTGTTTTCAGTTACACTAAATCATTTTGTATTATATTGTCATATTACTAAAAACAGTAGACTTGCAGCCTTTAAAGCTCAGTCAAGCTGCAGTTATCTAACTTCACTAGAAAGCAGAGATGGGAAGTACAGTAACGAAGTACAAATACTTCGTTACTGTACTCAAGTAGATTTTTCTGATATTTTTACTTTACTTTACTACTTATTTTTATGGTGAATTTTTACTTCTACTCCTTACATTTTTACACAAATATCTATACTTTCTACTCCTTACATTTTAAAAAATTGGCTCGTTACTTTAGTTTTGAATCATTTCAATGAAGTTACCGTTATTATTTTTCACATCATCAATACCAAATTCAATCTAATTGGATGAGAATCTACGTTGCATTTGACGCACCACTACAAGATGAATCAACAATTTTGGCGATATTCGTTCGCTGCAAATCAGAGCAGCTTGGTGGCGGTGGCGTTAGCATAGTACCATAGTATGGACGACGAGATGATTGAAAATGAACACAACGGAGATCTAGTCCTATTGGCAGACATCCATTTAAAATGTAGGCAACAGCATGAAAAAAATGGTTTCTACTTATACTTTTATACTTTAAGTAAATTTACAAGCCTGTACTTTGTTACTTTTACTTGAGTAAAGAAGTTTAATCAGTACTTCCACTTTTACCAGAGTACTTTTTAACACAAGTATCTGTACTTTTACTCAAGTACGGAAAGTGAGTACTTTTGCCATCTCTGCTAGAAAGACACAATCAACCATAACCACCCAGTATGTTGAAAGGAAGTCTAACATCTGTATGTTTTATTTTCTAAATCATTGACATTTGCCGGTAACTTTATGCAACAGGAGAGATGACAAAAATTGGGTAATTTGCATACAATTTAAACTTTACCTCCAAATTCAGCAACATGATGTTTAATTGCCACAGATTAGCTTTAAATTACTTTTTTAATGCAATGAATAACATAAAACAATTAATCAGGCTTGCAATTTTTGCATTAACACAAAATATGTGGGTTAGCTTTTTGCTTTTGTGTTACGTCGGTGTTAGTTAAAACAGCAGCGCTAAGAATGAGGGTTAAGTGAAATGAATGACGCCAAAAGGAAAGAGGTTCGATTGATTTAGTCTGGAGTGGCACAAACAACAGCAGCTCACAGGAATAACTCATTCATTGGGCTTTTAGAGGTGTCAACAAAAGCAGCAAAAAACACTGGAGCTTCGTACTATAGTGTAAAAATGTAACAAATACAGTATGTGATGATTAAGTAAAAGCTCACTTTAACAGTTGCATGTTTTGTTGTTGATTTTTAATGTGGTTAATATTTAAACACGGAGGTGAATGACTAATTTAACACAACAAAAGATGAATGCCGTAGCTCACAGCATTATTATTTATTATTTTTCATTATTTACTGCATAATGATGCATTGATCATTATCTATCTGACACTTAGAGGCAAAGCAATCCAAGAGATGTACAGTACCGCTAACAGTTAGAAAATTCGGACACAACTTCTCATGCAATTGGTTTTCTATATTTCTATTATTACCTGTGGAAATACCTTTCAAGTGACCAGTTAATTTGGGGGTGGGTGGGGGGTAAAATATAATCTGTTTCTTGAATGGTGCTTTTCGTTCATAATTTGATGTCTTCTGAAAAATGCCTAACACATCTTTCACAACCATTTCATACAATGGATCACTGTGAGGTGAAAATACAGGCATGCAAATCTAAACATAAAATTAAGAGTTAGAGTGCTATCTACTGTCTGCAGTAGAGCATTGCAGATGTGTTAAGCCTCAGTACATACACTGCTGCGCAATTGAGGTGGAATGTGACAGAAATAATAAACAGATACATCTCTCTGTAAATAAAATCCTTCAGGTATTAAAAATCACTTTTACTAAAACTATGAAAGCAAAGCACGAGAAAAGAAAGATTAGTATCTCTATATGTTCCAGTGTAGCTCTGCAGAATTTAAATTGCTTGAACTGTGGATATCGACCTATAAAAGAGTTTCTAAAAGTTAGACATCTATACTTAAAAAGCAACAAAAAAATATGTGTTCTACACATGTTAAAGTATCTCCTGCCATTTTTCTTTTCAAAAATTACATTTAACAATTCTTCACCTTAAATCCCTACAACCCTCGCATTTTCAAGGAATAGTCCCTAATGAATGATCATTAATATTTTTTAAAATAATCATGTTTTCTGAGTTACTGGAGTACATAAGTTTAAGACATCCAAAACGTACCTGATTAGAGTAGCCTTTGCACTGCAAAAAATTGAAATCTAAGTGTCATGGTCTTGTTTCTGTTGTGCTTTAGTTTGCTCCATGTTTCCTTGTTTTAATTCCTGTTTTGTTGTAATTTCTAGATTTATGTTAGTTGTCATGTTTTTTTGTTGTCCACTGTTGCCCTCTTGTGTGTGTGTGTGTGTGTTCCTTTCCCCTTGGCTCCCTCGTTGTCTCCTCTCACACCTGCTCCTTGTCAGCTCGTTAACCCTGCCTTTGTCTCAGTCAGCTACATATTGGTTCCTTGTCGTTGCTGGATCTCCATGCTGTTTTCGTCCTACCTCGTCTCTCCCTGGCTCCTCGTAATTATTTTCCCCTGATGTCTCCATGGTTCTGGTTGGGTTTACATTATTAGTTGTTTTTTTTGGATTCCTGCCTTTGTTTAGTTTTTCCCCATTAAAACTGCAAGAAATCTCCTCACCCTCTCTGCCTCTGCACTTGGGTCCTCAAACCACAACCAAACTCTGATGCTAAGTGAGTCATTTTTTCTTAAAATAAGTGTATTTATTATTATGTAATTTAATATTATATAATTAATTATTATATATTTTTCTGGAATTGATTAGGTAAGAGAAACACTTTGCCAATGGAACAAGAGGATTTATATTTAAAATAATAAAAAAAGAATTGGATCGTCTTATTTCAAGTGCATGTTATCTAATCATCTTTTTTAGGAGAAAATATACCCATTCCATTAGAAAAACATCTTATTTACCTACTAAAATTAATACACTTAACTTTTACTTATTTTTAGATAATTTTTTGCAGTGTGTTATTTAAGGCTTCAAGTCCATCCTTCTTTATATTTTCTTATCAGTCATTTTATCATTCATATTTATAAACATATTTTGATTTCCATATTTAAAACTTCAATATCTGAAATTTAGATATTCTTATACTTGAAAAATTCATAAAAATGTTTACATGTGCTTTTTTATTCCACACTTTATAGCTATGATATATATCAGCACAAGGAACATTTAAAGATGAAGCACACAAAGCTTAAATGTTGGTTTATTGCATGGATTTATTGTTCTGGTACCTTAAAATGGTCACCATGCTAATTATTGAGAAAAACAACAGACAGACAAAATAAGAAAAACAGGTCCAACACAGTGAATGTGAAGGCTGAGCTGCTTACATTTTTAATTCTACATATTTACATCGGCATCTGTTGGATAAAAAAAAAAGTAACCCACACAAAAAAAGCCTCAGAGAGGAAGGAATTTGTCACCATATTTATCTATGCTGCAGACATCATTAGCATAGTAATAAAGGCACTCTGCAATTCCTTGTATACATACCATGGATTTAAGTAGAAGTAGCGATTTCACAGTACAGAATAGTGCTGATCCTTCATTTTAAAAGAAGGAAAAAGAAAAAAAACAAAACAAAACCTTAAAAAAATTACAACTATATAACTTAATAACCATTGGATGCAAATGAGCTTCACATATATTAAAATGATTTGAGTTAGTAATCTAAACAGCAGCAATTCAAAAAACAAAGCAAACAATAAATACACCATGATCAAATAAAAGAGCACTTTCAACTCAAGGTCCTAGTGTTCTTTATGTTATAAGAAAATAACAAAGAAGAGCAAAATAAAAACAAACATGGTGGCCTTGAATTCCCATTTTCATTTTTGTGTAATTTCAGTGCAGAATTCCCCACCTGATTGCTTTTACATGGCCAATGTGGCAGATATGTCAAATGGCAGACATTTCTTTCCTTCAGTAGTAAGAAAACATCAACTCTTCAAATGCTCTGAAGTGTTAATATTTATAAGAAACCCTCAATCATAAAAGTAGATAGTCCTTATATATGAATGAAAGAAAACAAACATCAACCTGGATATTGAGGGCTGCTGTGAAATAAATACTAAATGGGTAAATTCCAATAGTATGTTTCTTTGGTGTTAAATATCTCCATCCCATTTAGATCAAAATATCTTTCCAGTTACACAGAGAAGGCTTCAGGTTGAAAATCAGACTTCATTTTCACTACATTACAGACTTAGGAGTTTTTCAGCGTTTAAACTTGCATTTGAAAAAATACATAAACTGCAAGAAAATCTGGAGCTCATGCTTGGATACACATTAAAAAATATAAATAATGACAATTACTGGGCTGCCAGTCAAATTCTAATTTTAAAGAAAAGGGAAAAAAACATGTAACATTTTTTATACCAGAGGAAAATCTGCTTTTTAATTTCACAGGCAGCATCCCAATGACAATCACAATGTAATTAGATAACAGCTATAAATTTAAAAAATTGTGGGAGGTTTGAAAAATAAATAAATAAAATATCTTAATTAAAATATTAAAGGCATACATCACAATCAGAAGTCACAGGACCAGGTATTAGGTTTGGGGCGCAATAACAACTTCTTTCACATACAGCCAGGTTGTCTTGGAAAATGATGCCCTTTAAAATATTTATTGATTTGAAAATATATATGTATTTATATATTGTAATGTATAGTTGTCCTGTTTAATATAAAATGTCTAATAATGTTCAGAAAAAATGTGACCAAATATTTTTGTAAATATTTGCATAGACTCATTGGAATTTAACTCTCTCCTTTTTAATTTAGAAATTATTGCATCAATTTCTGTTTTTATTCTTCAATGCAATAGGTTCAAAAACATTAGCCACTTAAAAATGGTTTTAGTTACATGGAATACACACCGAACCAGAAATATTTGACTTTAGCACAACCTACTGTATTCAAATTGCGAACAAACATCTGTTTTGAGTTAAGACATTCTTTAAAAATATGGCTTAATTTACAAAAAAATTACTTTTAGCATTTCAATATTTTAAAATGTGCAAAATAAATTCGAAAACGCTATTTTGCAGGATTTAGAAAGTCTAAAATCAGCAATTATGTGTCCACATAATCCGGGTACAAATACAGCTTGTCAAAATAACATGTTAAAAACACTTAGAAGTTCACATTCAGAACATTTAAGTTCAACATAAAAACAAGAGTCAGCTCCACAAAATGATTTATCATCCTAAGCAAGGAAAATGAATAAAATGGAAAATTAGCATTTGAAATAAAAGAAATAGAATAAAAATGTATTATCCTTTAACACAAACTGTACATTTCTGGCATCAGGATACTTAAAAAAGAGAATTGCTGCTACTTTAGGAAGAAAATCCTCAAATATATCTTTATAGCAAAAATATGCAGCTTTTGGGTACTTTTTTCCTCATCAATCTAGAAAACTTTACAATGCTACATCCAACTCCAAAAATGTGTGATTGAGGTTGTCTCCTCAACTGCTCCTTCTTCTGATCTATCCCTGCTGTTCACTTTCCTCTGATCTCATTTTAAACTCACTTCCTCTTTACCTTAAGCTGTTCCTCTGCTCTTTATCCACTATCTTTGTTTTCTTTCCTCTGAAGCTTGCACTTCAGTCAACCTTTTCAACTTTCCCGATAATCTTATCCTCAAAGATGGGCAAGACGGTGTCATCTTCCCGTATCTCTTCAAATACCACGCCGCAGTCGAACTCATCGCTCACCTTCTTGAAATAATACCTGGAAAGGCAAACAAAAAGTCAATAGTGATGTTAGAAGATTTAGTTGTTACAAAAGCTAAATGAATCAAACCTGAAATGAAGTTCCATATTTCATGAATAATTTTCTCACATTAATGCTGAGCTTTAAATATTTTGTTCAACCTGCTCTTTTTCAGGGTGGAATAAAATAAACATCAAATTGTGTTGATGTCTACCATTATGAGTCTCTTGCTTTCCTTCTCCTCACATCCTCACATATTTGCCTTTGCCTTAAAAACATTTTTTTTTTTCAATCATTCCCTCTGGGGTGTGACCTTAATTTAACTTTGAATGAAATTCAAGCTGAAACCTGCTTGTGAAAGAATCATGTTTCATTACAAATAACTCAAATATATAAAAAACGTAATCTTTGCACCTACTGGCATAACACTAAGGGCCGGATCTATCAAAGGTTTGCGTGTATAAAAACGTGAGCTATTTCACTGCGCACGCTAAAAAATGTACAAACTGATCTATCAACAGCGTGCTAAAAGGATTTGGTCTTTAAAACGTGCTAAATAGCGCCTCTTATCCATTTAGTACTTTTTCTGCTATGAATATGCAATATGGGGCGTTTACACGCAAAAGTGCGTCTTGTGGGAGGAGAACATGTAAATATATTAATTTAGCACTCGCAAAGTGATTTATCAAACCTGAAAGCAATTTTGCTAACGGTATCTGATATATTTAACACGTTTCAAAAGAAGGTGCAAATGGTCTGTATGCGTAATTGCGCACACATGGCAGCGGTTATTGCCGCAAGAAGGAGACATCGAAATGAAGCAAGGAGACGCAGAGAATGCATTTTTTCACTCCGTGTGAATATTTTTGGAATGAACGAGGAAACGATCATCAAAACATATCATTTATCCAGCATTGCCATTTTGGAGCTGCAATTCCAGTGATTTGCTCCTCACAGAGCGTCAGCTGTACTTGTTCCTCAATGCTGGTCAGAGGCATCTCATCTACTGTGCCCCCTCCTGCTTTGTTCGCAGATGTTTTGTTATATGCCAGTTTTTCTTTGGTTCGCCTTCTAATATCCTGGTATCTTCTTTTTACTTCATCCACTGTTCGCAAGGTTTCACCAACAGCGTTTACTTTATTACAGATTTGTTCACATATAGCGTTCCTCTGTGTGACAGTCACACTTTTTTGCTGTAGTTCACTTAAATGTTTGTTGGCTTCATCCACCAATACCTCCATTTCCATGGGGTCGAATTTCCTTTTGCGCTTTCTGCTGTCTAAACTAGCCATGCCGCAAACCACCAAACGCGCAAAACCATCATTTAAATAGGGCGTCTCCAACAGTTTTGCACCTGCCACCAGTTACGCAATCGCTCTTGTTAAATCACCCGCAAACCATGGTTCAGCCCCTCGCGCAAAATTCCAGTTTGCAAGCGCAAATTACTGCACGCAAAATTGGATCTTGATAAATCCGGCCCTTAGTTGTTACAAAAGCTAAATGAATCAAACCTGAAATGAAGTTCCATATTTCATGAATAATTTTCTCACATTAATGCTGAGCTTTAAATATTTTGTTCAACCTGCTCTTTTTCAGGGTGGAATAAAATAAACATCAAATTGTGTTGATGTCTACCATTATGAGTCTCTTGCTTTCCTTCTCACATCCAATCTCTGACTTTTTTCTTAATAAATCTGATTTTTTTTTTTTGACACTTGTTTCATAATAAAAATAACAAATGACATATTTGCCTTTGCCTTAAAAACATTTTTTTTTTTCAATCATTCCCTCTGGGAGGTGACCTTAATTTAACTTTGAATGATATTCAAGCTGAAACCTGCTTGTGAAAGAATCATGTTTCATTACAAATAACTCAAATATATAAAAAACGTAATCTTTGCACCTACTGGCATAACACTAAGAGGTAGTTTGTTGGTTATAAGTACACATCTAAGAACAAAATGTGATGAACTGATGTGACTCTGGCCTTTGGAGGGACAAGGACTGGATTAGTAAAAAAAAAAAAAATCCATATTTTCCTAAAATGACATCTTAATAAACAAATGTGGGGCCATAAACCATTATATTAAATTTGGATATTGAGAATCAGTTTCCATACTGATATTTAACATAATTAATGGGTTAGGAGGATTGAAGTTTGCCTGCTTTTCGGACACTCAAGCTTCTGCAACCGTCTCCTGCACAAGACAGTATCACAAGACACTCAACAAAGGTGTAACTTTGCCCCCCATGGTGCTTTGAGGACAGTCTCATGCCTGTTTCTTTTTTTCGTGACACTCTCCTGGGGCTTACATCAGAGAGGAAACCATCAAGGCCCACTTACTCAGGGACCAGTAATCAAGACTAACCAAAGGCTAAATGGACCTGGTTGCTGACATCAGAACAAAATAGCTTCAAAACAGACTGTTTGCAAAATTTCTCTCTGAGTTTCAGGAAATTCAGATGCCTGGAAGAGGCTGGAATATAAAATATTATTTTGCCAAATAATCTTTTATTCACTTATTGGATTGGCATTGTGAATTGGTTTGAGCAGATTCCAATTGCACAAAATTTGCCAAAACCTAATTTGATCACATTTATACTTTATCAAATAAACTGTGATACATTGTATAATTGATCAATTATGGTTTTCATCCATTTATTTTATTCCTTCTTCTTAGTGTACATTTTAGCTTAGTTTAATTGAGTTTCACTGGTTTACCCAAGAGTTATAACTGAAATAAATTTGACTTGGAGCTCAAAGATATTTTTAATTGGAAGTTGTGGTGAATTTATTCCATATATGATCAGTTATCTGTTTGATCACGATTTGATTTGAACTCACACTTTCATTTATTCAGATAGTAGGGTGTCCTCTCACACAGTCTAAATATTGTTTGATTAAAGAACATTTTTACCATTCCTTCTGGGGCGAGAAATAAATATATTAAATTTGCACAACACAAACAATTCAATTAAAAGATTCTATTGATTGTATTGATCATACAGGCTTAGATATTTAGATTTTTTAATAAAAAATTATTAAAAATGCCTTTCAAAGTAACACTAGCGCACTGACCAATGGGAATGGAAAAGGGAGGACTATCCCTAAATTCTTTAATTTAAAACTAAAATCTAACCAAACTATGATTTTCAGGAGAACGGGTACCACAAGTATGCATTTAAAATGTATACTTGTGAAATTTCCAAAGATGTCTTATGCTTAAAATGTGTTAAAGGCAAAAAAAACAAGAATTACAATGAACAGTGCCAAATCTGGCAAGAAGAGTGTCCAGATTTACCATCTAAATTATGTGAAGACTTTGCTAATGGTTATAGAAAAACCTAACAAGCATCTGTGTTTAATATCATCCCTGTTTGGATAAGAGAAAATTTCAAAATAACTTTAAATTTGAACATCTATTCCTGAGTTAAAAACTCACTGTATTATTAGTACCAGCTTTAAAAAAGATAGATAAATCATTGAAAGACAAGCGTAAGTATGAATTCATGCCTGTTGTGAGTTTAAATAAACATCTCTAACCAAAAAAGACCTTAGATAAAAAAAAGGACTCAGCATCTCTCTCATAAAAGTTTCTTTATACCAAAAAACATTTTCTGATAAGTACCCATCTATTAACATTTTTAATAGCTGGACAATATGAAATCTTTTAAGATGGTATTTCACAGAGAAAGGCAACAAATAACTCCCACCTGTAATGTCCTTTCTTTGTAAGAAGGTCTTTGAACTGGCCCAAAGTAACAACTCTCCCTGGGACAGATGTCCTGTATGGTATCAGCTCCTCGCAGAAGTAATAAGCCACAGTAATATTCTCACACGTCTGCTTTTTATAGCCTTTATGTCTGAAAACATTAAAGAAAGAAAATCAGTTAAAGTAAATTTTCATTTTGTCAAACAACTTTCAAAGCTAAAAGAAATTTGGTTAAAAAGAAAACCCATATGCACAGAAAATAACTATACAACTGCATACTTTAAAAACAGCAGTATAAGAAAAAAAAATATGGCGAGCACATAAAAGACAGTGATGTTTTCGTAAGAAGAAATTTGTGCTGTTTTGAGTGAGAAAAAAAATCAAAGGTTTTAAGTAGGAAGAATAGAGAATGCATTTCAGTTATGATTGAGGCAAATTTTAGATGACATGGCGTGCACAGCTGTGTATAATGTTTTGATGACTGAACAAATCTGTAGTTTTCCTTAAGAATCAATCATATCCTCTCAGTGGAAGAATGCAATCTGATTGGTGTGCTGTAATAAGATGGGGCTTATGTAGGAAAGAACTGAGGCTACTGAAATACTGCATGTTATAGTTAAAAAAATTTAAGCAAACCATTAAGCCTAAAAAACAGATTTTTTTCTAAACAGAACTGCATTAAAATACTCTAGATGCTGAATTACTAACAAGTAAAATCAAAGCAAACATGCATCTTTACCTAAAACTTCACACAAATATGCAGCAATATTTTCAGCAGGAATATGTTCTGGGATTGTTGAAGATTGAAGCTGTAGAGCTTTGCTTTTATGAACAAATAATACATTTGTTTATATCAACCACATTTTCCTGCAGGATTTTACCCGCAACTTTAACACAATGTTTTTGCTCTCCAAGACGAACTATGAAAAAGCAATATCAAATCAGAAAGGTAACAAGCTAACAGAGTACAAATTCAGCAAACTATTTCCTATGGAAATCTTACCAGGAGGAAAAGCTAGAGGAAGTCAAATATATTGAACAAAGTACCTAAAAGGTCAATTATCATGTTTAAAGTGGCTTTTTTTAACCTAACTAAACCCATTTTTGGGAAATATGTTGCTGCAATCCTAAAGAACCACTGTTAGGATGTAACAAACCACTGTTAAAAAGAAAGAAGTCTGCAGTGTTATAAAAGTCATTAATCAATGAGTTAATGGGGGAAAAATATCAATAATATCCTACACCATCTAATAGTATTGAAAAAATTCTTCTTCTAATTACTATTAAGAAATTATACATTTGTTTACATTAAGCATATTTTCCTTAGTTTCAATGACTATGGCCCTCATTTAATTTGTTAAAACTGTTGGACTTAATGAAGGCAAAATCCTAAATCCACTAAGAGTAGGGGGGAAAAAAACATCTGCAGTTAGAGACATTCCTTAACAAAACCTCAGTAATTAACAGGCACACCAATGGGTAAACATCAGAATCACATTCAGCTTTATTTGTTTAATCTTTGGACAAACACAAGATATTTGTATCCTCTTCCTCATATTGTCAATGGAGACATTTAAAATATAAATATATTAAAAGAGAAACAAATATATAAAAAAAAGTTTAACCATGAGGAACACTCCAATCACTGTCTGATGAGTGTTGATCATAATAAGAGACTGAAAAAAACCCACATCACTTTCAGGGCTGATTTTCTTTTTCAAAAATCACCCCCTTTGAGGTTTAAAATCTAAATAGTTAGTTTCCAGAATGTTTTGGGTCTGCAGAGATGTTAGCTGACCTTTTCCTGTCCATACACCTGTACGATTTCTTGATGGAGGGAAGGTTGGGAAGCACATATTCATACGTATTTATCATTTGTAATTTTATTTGTCCTGTTCTGATGATCAGCCAAAGCATCATTTGAATATGCACAGTATTGACTGAATAATAGCGGTGTAGATGAACTGCAGGGCAGGAAAGTTAGAAATGTCCAAAGGGTCCTGATATCAGCAAAATATGCATCTTTTAAGGCTGTAATCTAGCTTTTTTTTTTTCTGGTGGGGCACTTGATATGTTGTTTTTTTTAAAGCTAATTTGAGAGGTCTGACCTAAAAAATTATAAGTTTCTGGTGTTTTTACATTCACTATGAAACATTCTTTATTCTCTGATATGCAGGCTTGATGTATATACAGTCTGGAACAAAATGTAGAATCCCTTTGGTAAATACAAGGTTATAGTCTATACAAAATGACTCCAAGGAAAGACTTAATGTCTTTTGTGAAAGCAGATTTAACCCCCCCTTGATAGGGAGAGCTCTGAGCGGGTAGACGTGAAACTGCTGGAAGTGCACAGTATGAGGTCTGCTCACAGAGCCAAGTTTTGATGAAACAGAAGGCAGCAGAGCTGCGAAAGTCTGAGATTAAACAGATGCAGAAGTTTATCCTTTTTTGCTAGACAAGGTGCAAAAACATTAGACAGTTTAACTGGGGGCAAGTGAGAGCGACCCATGTCAGTGGCTTCGTCACCAAACAAGATCTCAGGGAGATTTGGGTCGATAAAAATGAAGGCAAATTTAAAGAGAAGACTGTCTGATGTCAATAGGTGCTCTAGTGAAAAAGAGTTGAATAGTGGAGAGCACAAAATGTGCAAACATGAGTGCGAAGTACCAAGATTTCACAATCTTGGATGTCTCTGTTCAACTTTTCAATTTTTTTATAAGTTGTGGGCTACTTCCACTATTTAGGATATTTCCATTAACATACAAACCAAATATTTATTAAAGCAAAAGGAATAATGTCATTTGTCAAAAGGTGAGATGTTGAAATTACACATATACTTATCACTGTGTTTAATCAAAATGCCCTATTGTCACTTACATTAAAAAAAAAGGATTCAAAAAGGTATATTAGTGAGTCCTAGAATAAATTGAATGATGCCCGTAGACAACACGATGTAGTACAGACTCAACAGTCAATCCATCCGTCTTCCGTTTATCCATCTGGGGATGCAAGTGACATGACAAGAGATCCTTACTAATCTCTAACCTCATTAGAAATCCTCCTCTATCAGGCAGCCATAAATCTACACACTGACAGGATGACAGTGTCAGACTAATATGTGTCACACTTGATGAAAATTATTATCTCATCTAAAATTAGCACATCTACTTAGAAATTAAGCTGTCAAAAAAAAATCAAATTCTCATCACTGGTAGGAAATGGAAAATGGTAACAAATAAATGAAGAGAACTCATCATAAGGCTTTAAATGTCGCAGAGGAACATGCCTTGCTTTCCTCTCTGAGAACACAGTCATAACATTGTAAATATCAACATATTTTCTTATTTACTTAGGTTTACATCCGACTCATATAGTTCACCTACTGAATACTGTTTTTAGGGTCATGTTGGTAAAATTTGTGAAACTGAAGCTTTCTTGAATTTTAATGATGAGAAGGCTTTTCCCTCTGGATCTGCCATGTAATTTGCCTTTCATCTCAGTCGAACACATTTCTGCAGCTCCCTACCATCTATTTATCACCATCTTGGAGGGAAGTCAAACATCAAACAGAAACATGTTTTCACAAAACATCACAAACTGATTTGGTCTGTATCCGTAATACTTTAGCTACTTTTGCTAAAACTCAAAGAACAAACATTTCTCCTTCCTCTGTGATCCTTTCTTTAAGCCTTTCTTTCAGGCTCTGATCAAACATTTATGAAAGCCTCATATTGTATTAGAATTACTTTTCTCTTAGTCAAAACCTGACTTGACATGGCAACCAACAGAGGACAAATGAACCCATCAATTTTTTTTTTTGCTTTTATGTTCTTTTGGTTGGTTGATGAGTTATAAGTTGGTAACTTTATAATTTATTCAATACTTATGCAACTTGAGATTTTCACTATACTTCTTATAATCCTTTTTAGGGTAACATATGTATTGTAGAAGAAGAAAAATAAGTAAATTAAGCAAATAATTTCCCTTCCTCTTGAGAATTTACCACAACAAAACAAAACAGAAGCTTCTTTGCGGTTGCTAAACACTGGGAAAAATACAGAGGCAAAAATAGATACTAGTTGTGTGTTCATGTTGGAGGAGTAAACTTCAGCTGGAATACTCTTGGAAGCCTAAATTCCCAGTTGGAAAGTCAAGGTAACACATCCAGACTTCCAATCATGATGGCTGCCAATATTATCAACAGCAGGAAAAGTTTCTTACTTTGATTGTTATGGCAAGTCTTTCTTGTTTACATGACATTTAGTCAGTCTTACACAAAAGGTTTCAGATTAATTTTAACTGGGGCTGAAACAATTAATAAGTTTAATCATGATTAATCGATTATTGAATTAATTGTCAACTGATTTAGTAATCAGTTGATCGTTAAATGGAGTATAGAGAGTGTAAAACATGCCTTTAGCTGACAGAGCAACCCACCTAAAGCAGTAATTATTTCAAAATTGTAAAGAAAATATATAAAACAGTTTGCATTTAAGCTTACATTTTTTGTCAATATGATCTATCCAGAACTCGTCAAGTGGAAACATTTTAGTTTCCACTTCCATTTCGTAAAAAATAAAGAACCTTTTGCTATCCAATTGTAAATCGATTATTCGAAGAAAAAAAAAGATTAATCGATTTGCAAAATTTGAATTTAGTTCCAGCCCTAGTTTTAACACTATATTTCTGCAAATACAACACGATACAGTGTTTCTGTCCTTCTTAATGCATAACAATGGCCATATACAGGTAATGGAGAATGTGACGACCCACAAACAGTAAAACTTAATCACCCAAACTTCTTACTTCTGGGTCGCAACATAAAATGAAAAAAACTATAATAAAAATTTTCATTATCTGAAGACAGGGTAACCACTAAAGCTTCTGCACTACAATGCTCTCTTGTGTACAAATAACCTACTACTGGTAATGTCAGATATTGGTCTAATATCAGGGAGAAATAAATTTCGGGTTATATCAGCTTGCGCCTAAAATCTCTAATACTGGCGTGCTGAATACATGATGCTTCTGTCTGAAGTTTCTGTAACCTGCTGGGTAACAATAACTGGGTTGGTTGTTCTCATATCTATTGACTATTGCTTCTTGTTTTCTGTTTGAGTAATATTGCTTGACCGAAACTTTTCTAACATTTCAAGCTACAAAATAAGTAGCCTATTAAAAGTATGTAGGATCGCTTCTGATATCGTATCGGGTTATTATCAGTTCTCAAGGGTACAATATCAGTATCATATCGGAAATGGAAAAACCTTGTATCCGCACATCTCTACTGGCTAACAAATAAATATCTACAACCCTGAAGAGAACCATCTACCAGCATGCACATCTATAAATTGAAGTGTTTACCCAATCATCCTTGCAAAATAATTCAAACTCAGAATTTAAGCAAATCTTTGGAAAGAAAATGCTTTTGTTTGTTTTTTTTTCTGTTTAGGGATGAACTTTGACAAGTTCTAAACACTATATATTAGCAACTTAAATGACTTCTGAATTTGTTTTAGATGCTATTAAGGTAATAAAAAAGAGAAAAAGGGACACAATAATTCACATTGTTGTTTTCCTTCCACTGTATAATTGGGGAACAGTTTGTATTTTCGTATAGAATCTCACTAAAATGTATTGATGTTTTTTTATGTGTGACATAACATGAAACAATCAAGAAAAGTTAAACTGATATTAGTACCTTTGCCAGGCAAAGTGCATTTATTGTGTTCTGTTGCCAACTGTTCTACTCCTAGGTTTTTGTGTGTAATAACACATAATACAATTTCTACTGTTAAAAAAAAAGTGTAAATTCTCTCAAAAAAACCCTGAAGGGTCAGGCTTTGCTAAAATAAATTGGACATTAACGACAAGGGGAGCTCTGCATCTATTACTGATGGGACACAGTGAACATAGAGCGACCGGTGCAGGCCTGATAGCTGCGCGACCCCTTTGTATCACCTCCATCACATACCTGAGGAACCGAATAACGATAATGATTTAGACCCAACAGCCAAAAGAACCAAGCAAAACCAAAGCAGTCTGCTCAAGACAATCCCAACAGACCAGTTTTTTCCAATTCCACTTAGGAAGTTCACCAGTTGACTGTGTTTTTAAGACATTTTCTTTCTAATTACCTGTGCTTTGGCTGCAGTGCTCCAGACTTAATCTTTTCCTCCTGAAGCCTCCGACAGACCTCCTCCAGCTGAATGAGTGGGCTGGGTGCAGGGTTAGGGGGCATGGTAGGGTCCTGGATGAACGGGTGAAACGGCTGCACATTGCTGCGGCCTTGGCCACCCAGGCATGGATGCATCGACCCTGATCGGTCTGAGGAGCCGAGGCGAGATCCCTCATGGGTTGTAGTCCTTTTGGAACCACTGACACTCCTACATTTGAAAAATAACGGTAATTAAATGGCTTAGGTTTGTCTAAGTTCTAACTTGGACTTATTAGGGGGGGAAATATGGAGGGAATTGCTTAATTTTAGTGACATTTCTCACATTCAATCTGTTATCACAGGATTTGTGGTGTAATAAAGTAAGAAAAAATCACTGACCCATAAGGACTTCTTTTATGGTGAGCCATTTCTTTTTGTCCTTCCATAAGCCATAGCAGGATCTTCTGTTTTTTATCCCCTTCCTCAGCAGACCGTGGCACATCAAAAGCTCTCGGTTCTTCACCTCTCTTGAAGACTCTATTACACTGGAGGCCACTTTTGTTGCTGCATAATGGAAGAACACAACTGATAAGTAGAAAACCAAGATTCTGGAGAGGTGAATGAGAGTAAAAAGAGTTCAAGTTGCACCACACCTGTAGCCTATGTGCTCCACAGGGTTGGATACCATCCCATCTGCATAGCTTCGAGATTTTGAGCTATAATTGCTAGTCTCCAGGCTCCAGGCAAAGTTGCCTTGTGAACGTGTGGCCCCCTCGGGCTCCATGGTGGTTACATGACTGTGATGCTGATATTTGTGGTGGGAGGAATGGCCAGGTTCTCCCTTCAAACAACGTCTTGCAGCGTGTTTACCCTGGCCTGGCTGTACTGCACCTCTAAACCCAGAGAAACCATCTGGAGAGCGAGACTTTGGGGATTGGCGCCCGGTTCCTGGCGATTCGCAGATGGGTGTCTTCATGACCCGCTGGACATGGTCATCCAGGATGCTCTCTGGGTTTTCCTCATGAGTATCTTGGACAAAAGGACTGCTGTATGTGATGTCAGCATAACGAGGGTTGTAATTCAGTGAATAAGCACTAGGGGGGAATCTTTGACTGGGTAATGATGAAGGTGCAGAGAAATCATTGCCTTCTTCCTCCTTTATTTGATAAAAATGAAACAAAAATTTGTCAAAATATATATATACAGTATAAAAAGCACTGAAACCGGTAAACAATTTAAATAATCACTTAATAAATTTTCATAATACATTAATTTCAAGCAGTTGTACATGGGTTGTCCCTGTGTCCACTTGTAGATGGCAAATAAAAATTCACATTCTGCATTTAACCCATTCCCTTGAGGAGCAGTGGGCTGCCATTGTGCGCTGCCGGGGAGCAGTGTGGGATTAAAGGTCTTGCTCAGGAACCCAGAGTGGAGGCCGTGGGGATTAAACTGGCTACTTGCAACCTTCTCAGAGCAGAAATGCACTGCTCTAAGCACTAAGCCCACACTCCCCCACTTAACCATAACACTCATAAATGTATCATTTTTCAGTCTGAGTTTAGAAGTGAAGAGTCAAAACAGAAGCTTAGCCAATTATTGTGCACACAGCACATCTGTGCTCACTCTGGGTTATGACAACTGCAGCCTATGTAGCTTCAGCTCCTACTGACTGGGACTAAACTGATCTCTGATAGGAACTGCTGCGGGGAAAATACTGAATGGGGCGCTACAGGTATTTTATAGCAGAGAGACAGTAGATGGTAAAGAAAGAGATGTGCAAAAATGAAAAATAAACAAATGATATACAATGTATGTATGGATCCTTAAGGCAAGCATTGCCTTTTACTTATATAAGCATTAAGAGTTAGTAAGGACATGTATATGGAAATGTAATTTAGGCCTTAACTATGTTCTAAGGTAGTACAAATTCATACTTTTTTTTCTCTGTCGAGCCAAGATGTCATATCAGATATATTGATTATTAAAATATTGCTACAATAAGGACAATAATGAAAAGTTAAAACAAAATAGTTCTTTAAACATATCAGTCAACAGAAGAAAATAAATCCTAAAAATTGCTGAAGGGTTTGAAGAAGAAAAGTCCAAGACATCTCCTCTCTGTTACAGGAAAAGGCTAGGTAAGTGTTGCCCTAATGTCTTAAATGAGGAATACAAATCATTGTTGATCTTGTGATAAAATTGTAATTTTTATATTGTAGCAGCACTGGTTACATTATGATAGGCTTCTTCTTTGAGCTTCATTTGATTACATTTGTGAAAATTAGGCATTTATTTAATTCAATTTCACAAGACTGTTTCCCTTTGATAAGTTATATAATAACTCTAACATCCAATTAAGAACTGGTTCAGATACCAGGATTGTTTATTTTTGTTATTCTCTGGTATTTCCTTATGTAACAGCATATTGCCTGATAATTATTTTATTGCTAAAGTGCTCAAACCAAAGCTTTTTTTTTTCCTACTCTAGATATCCACAGTATGAATTTGATGATAGAAGTCATTTTATCTGTACCTTCTGTTTAAAAACAAACAAACTGCTGTGATGGTGGCTTCATTTCCTTTCACAGCCTTCCACATAAATTATCCACCTAGAGATTTAATACTTGGCAGAACGTTTAGACAGAGATTTCATTTGTGGTGGAAGCAACCTTTTCATCGCCGATCCAAGTGGCATCAAACAGGCCTGGCTCGCTGTTCCAGGCTTACAAGTGGCCGAGTGTGCAGGTGCTCCGTCTGATTCATCCAGGCAGCCAGATTGCTGACAGGCCAAGGACAGAATACTCCACATGATTCATAGAGCCTTTTACTCTTTACTCCAATGACTGGCCTTATTTATTTCATTGGGCCAGGCAGATTTAATTTCTCTTTGTTTATGAATATTAGAAAACTAATGGCTAGGCACCGAACCAGACTTTATTATCCCTCTAATAAGGTTCTTCAACTTCAGTTTCTATCACTGGGCATATCCAATTAATATAATTACTTTAAAATAAATCATGTATCACTCTTGACCCTTTGAACCCAGACCTATCCCTGGTGAACTTCCGTTTGTTTTTCTCCCCCTAGCATTGTATTTCTTTTTTTTAATGCTATTCATTTTTTGTACAAGAAATTCCTCAATTTTATAGTTTTTTTAAACAATTTTCAACATTTAAAAAGCTCTTCTTATATCAAATTTGAAAAATTCTACAATATCAGCAAATTTATACCTCTTATGTGTGCAATAGAGCTGCACATCACATCACAATATACGTAACACATATTGTAATGGCAAAGGACTCTTAGGTTACAATGGTCAGTGGGATATAATAGTTAGGTGTTATGCACTATTAAGTTGTGCAGATCTATAGTGTATTTAAGAAGTTCAGTTCAGTCTAATCTCTAATTCCCATAAAAAAATGTATTTATTCAAATGTTGGAGCTCAAATGTTGGAGCTTCTGTAGAGTGGGGGAAATATTTTGCAATGACAAAGACAGACAAAATGTGGAAAAATGAGGGCTAATGATAATCAGCATCAGTATCATAATTATCCTGAACTTTACTCCTGTTAAAATATTTCCCTGAAATCCTTCAGCTCCAGTGCAAACGGCCAAAGCAGTGAATCTGCTTAAGGTTTCAAGAACAGAAAGTGAAATAATCATACCAATCTGACTCTTTTTAGCCTCTCCTCCAGTTTTTCCTCAGCCTCCCTCTCCCTCCGGACCGCTTCCAGCCTACTGATCAGCTCAGCAGCGAACCTCTCTGGCTCCACGTGTATATCCTTTGGAATCCGGTTTATGCGCTGGGGGAAGAAATGTCAGACTGTTTCTTTTTTTCATCCTTGTGTGTTTAGAACTATTTTAGCACAGTTGACCCCACACATCCCGTTGGAGGTCAGAGAGAGGAAAAGAAGCAGGAAACAATGAAACGGGTGGAGATAAAGTATCGCTTCCACTGGGACTGGAAATGGAAATATGAATGGCTGCGTAACAAGACTTTACCACCTCAAAATATTAGAAACTGAATTTTTGTCTCATTGGTTTGCTATTCATTACTTAGTGCACAGGAGTCTCTATTTGCATATCGTCATTTAAACACTTCTATTTTTGCTAGTATGCATTTCAAACTAGAGCAAATATCCTCATTTAACTTCTGGGATTCTCAAAGATAGGATTAGTGTTTTTTAGTGATTTAATGATTTACATTTTTTCACATTTATGTGATTAAAATAATGCTGTCTTCATATTTTTAATTGTTTTTAATTTAATACACTTATTTTCTTTTTTTGGGTTGAAATAAGGGTTATATGTGAAAGGAGAGCTGCAAAATGTCTGGAAATTATTAATAGAGTTAGGTGATCATTTTCATGTCAAAAATGAGATGGTAATTCAGTAGGTGTGTCGAATTCATATGCACCGTATTCTCTTCTTCCAGGGTTATTAGAATATATCTTTTTATTTAGAAATACATTGAAATCAATCAATTTGTTTAGGCATGGAGATGTGAGCATCATGCTGTCCACTACATAGCAGATTCATATTTAGGATAGGAGGGCGCCATGTGTGGCTTTTTAATTGGACTCTTTACTCCTAGGCCTAATTAGGGCCAGGGTTTTCCTACCAAGCGACAGCATAAAGCTGCAGAGGGAGGCATCAGGCTGTCACAGGGGAGGATTCATGTCTGCAAGGCTTCAGCGCACAGAGCTTAGGAAGGCATCAAGCTGCATTTAGACAGCCTTCTCTTTCACCATCAGCTATTCTTATACTCCATCACAGGCGCTGTAACACAGCTGAACTAAAATATGCACATTTCCAATGGCAGAGCAGAGGGAAAAATAAGCAGAGACAGACAGTTACAAAGAGAGAGGTGTAGAGGCGGAGAGCGAGGTGGAGGGGAAACGTCCCATGAATAACTCACTGGAAAATGAGGTAGTAGCACTCGCCCATTTGCTTTGGCACTCTCGTGTATCTCCCGGCGATGCTGTTTGCGGTATCGGTATGGTGGATCGCCATCTCTGGAATGAACAACAAAAGACATTTTCATCAGTCATCCTCATGAATAAACAACAAGGCAGCTTTGAAGCTGAACGCTTCACACAGTTTTTTCTCTCTGAAACAAACACCTAAAAGGGTCTTTGTTATCCGTGCAGCAGGAGAGAGATTCTTACAGCATTGTGGCTGCCCACCCTGCCTCATAAGTAGTCTGCAGGTCACAGCAACATGCTTTACATGCAGAAAGTTTGAGTAATCATTTGTCGACTAATTTACACAATCACCTGTGTCAAATGCTAGGGAGAAATTAGTCTTTCAATCCCTTCAGTTATAAAAAAATGTTCCCAGCTGTGCAGACTTTGAAGGGCACTGGCTCGATTCATCAGTCACACTTCACCTAGAAGATTTTTCAAATTCATTTTGGCAAAACGCATCTGGCTGACTCATAAACAGACTCTGAAAATGAGAGATCCTTATAAGTGATGCCAGATAAAACACTCAGTTTGGTCTGCAGCTTGCAAATGGACTAGGTTATGGAAAATAAGTGTTTTCTTTAAACACTATATGGGTTAGACATTCAGTACAATTCTCCACTCAAATGTTTAACAGTCCAGCCTAGACAATCATTTTATTGTCAAAAACTGCTGAGTCAAATGGTGTTTAGGTCTGCCGTGACAGAAGGACTCTGGGAAAAATGTGTTTAAGTGTCTGGTGACAAGAAACGTACACACTGTTGTCTGTAAGGGAAAGCGTGTCTGCGTCACTGGACATGCTCTGCTGCTCACTGTCATTGGCACTGGTGGCTGGGGCCAGAACATGACCTGGGTTGACGTAGTATGGGTTGATGGGCTCTCGACATGCTCCTTGCCTGTATTAGGAAATAAGAGAAAAACAACTCTGAAAGGGAAGAACATTCAACAAGATAAATATAATAAAATAAACAACATTTAATTCAAAGTCAATTTCTTGGCAATAGCCTTAGACAAGCTTCACTGTTTTAATGAAAGTGAGAAAATAAAGGTTTTGTTAAAGTTTGCTTAAAGTTTTTGTCTTCTTTTTGATCCTTTTACCAATTTCAGTGCAAAGAAATCCAAGCTGTGAAAAATGCCTGTTAAATAATCCTTTTTCACAACAAACAATTAAAATACATTACACTAAAGGTTTACAGCTAGCGGTGTTACACTGCAAAAACAATCTAGAAATAAAGTAAAAATATCTTAAATTAAGTGTATTTACCCTTAATTTTTGTAGGTAAGTAAGAGGATTTACCAATGGAATGAGTATTTTTACTCTTAAAATAAGTTAATTAGATAAAATGCACTTGAAATAAGACAATGCAATAGTTTTTTTCTTATTTTAAAGGTAAATTATCTTGTTCCATTGCCAAAATATCTCACTTATCTCCTTAATCCAAGAATAAATGCACTTATTTTAAGAAGAAATTACTTATTAAGATTTACATTTTTTGCAGTATACATCGCTTCACTCTGTGTACTCCGACGTTGAGGTGCTAACGTCTCTATTAAACACTTTAAAAAACTCTGAAAATGGAATACGAAAGGTGGATTCTTGATTCTCGACGTCGGAGTACACAGAGTGAAGCGAAAAGACTACAACTGTGTAAACAGGCCCCATTTCCGTTTCCGGTGGCAGCGGAATATTGACTATTCCAACAGAACTCAATGGGATTTACAAAATGCTAAATAAAACACTACAGGAACGTTTTTTCTTCACGAAACTTTTTTTGGAACGTCACTGAACAGCGCTGACGACCCGGTGAGTAGCATATTTAAAAAAAAAAACGTTTAAGGTTGTTTTAAGGACATTATAGGACATGCTCTATGCAAGCCATTCTAAAGCAGCCAGGGGTTGATTCTAAATGAGCCAAAAAGCAGAGACAGGAGCAATTGTCAAAATTTTGGTGTCGATCATTCGATTTCATCCTGGACACTACAGAAAATGGGCTTAAAGTGTAAAAAACCGAACTTCTCCTTTAAACCCTAACATTTAGTCTTTCCTTATATTTTCTTTCACATTGTTCTTCTGTCATTCTGTAATAATTAACCAAACATAAAAAATAAGATGATCTATGAAGCATAGTTATCTAACCTGCTAAATATCAAGAAAAAGATACTTTATTTCACACCAACACCAACTTAGCAAACCAGACTTCTTAGAGGGCTTTGAGCCCATAATTTATGAATGTAAGGCATCATTATTCTTTATTCAAAGTAGGAATTCCCCAAAGCCTTTAGCTTCAGCTTTCTCCCTGCTTGGAATGCAAAAGCACAGAGAGTTCGAATGAAATCTTTGTGACAGCAAGATTTTCATTAGCAACACCCACCCGAATAATTCATGGAACTGGTGTAGAGGTGCATCATGACAAAAGAATGAAATTGTAATTCCAGTTAATATGATACATTTGTATGTAAGAAAAAAAAAGGTAAAAGAAGTTTTGTTTGTTCGTTCTTTTAAAAGAAAAACCTTTTTTGAAAGAAATATAATATGTTTATGTGCATATATTGGAAACTAGGTTAGTTTAGGCTTTAAATGTTGTCAGTTACACAGTAAGTTCAGTTTTAACATATAGCTATAGGTGGTGTGAATTATTTTGACATTTAACATGTATAGTATAGTATAGTATAGTATAGTATAGTATAGTATAGTATAGTATAGTATAGTATAGTATAGTATAGTATAGTATAGTATAGTATAGTATAGTATAGTATAGTATAGTATAGTATAGTATAGTATAGTATATTAGAAGAGCTGTGCATTTTCATGTTAATACTTTCAAATAAAATAATTGGGAACATTTAAGGAGGCAAGGATAGGACATATTTTATTCTCATTACTTTAAAGGCACACTGTGGACTTTGTGACAAAAAGACTTGACGAAGAGTAGTGGCCAAAAGTTACACTGTATGCCTTTAAACATTTTCCGTTTTATACAAGCAGGTAATTTAAACAAGAAGCACCTAGCACATAGCTCCTAATTACAATGGATAAGAAATAGCTTTAAATTGGCTAAAATAAGATACCATGTGGAATAAATACGTAAGATTATTGTTCCTCTAAATGCAATTAATAATGCAGTATTTTTTTTTTTTAGATTAACTGTAATTTTAAGAAAGTTACTATCTTAGGGTTTTTTTGTTGGGTAATCAGCTCACGTAGCAGACAAGCTAATAAATGTGGTTTTAGCTCAGCATGATGGTAATAAGGCCATATTTTACCCTCCACTTCACAACTAAACCTGTGGGGTGAATTCTCTTAATCGTATTCACTGACTACAGTTTACTAGGTCTCCCTGTTGACATCCTGGTGAATCTCATTTTTTTGTGCTTACTTTGTGCAAGCAGGAACAATACAGTCTAAGCCAGAGGGTGGAACCAAACACATAAATCAGTTTATAAGTAAAAGTAGAAGAAGCAAATTATTGCTTATTTTCTAACAAATATAGTGAGAAGAGATTTTATTCTGATTTCCAAGTGAGGATCATTTGTCTCTAAGGGAAACGAAAACTGCAAAACTGCATCCTGGTTAGAAATCACTTTTTACTTTTCAGTTTACTTTCTTTATGGCTATAAACCAACGCATCATCACCTCCTTAGAGACTGTAGTGAGAACAGTGCTTATTTGGCTGGAACATGGTTGCCTTGAATTAGGAAACCTCAGCAGACCTTGAGATCTTTAACAGAAGGATGTCTGTGGTCTGTATAAGGCTAAAGATTAATCTGAGGCTAACAAGTATGCCATATTGTGAATCCTCAGACAGTGTAGAACATGGGTCACCAACTAAAAATCAGCAGGGTGTTAACCAAGAAAATCATCAACCAGTAAAGATCCGGAGACATTTTTAATTATAATCTGTTGCTTTAAACAGAATTTAACACTGAAATAAAATGAGGTTTTTATGCATCCATGTCATACAGTTTTTAAAGGAGAATTCCGGTTTTTAACACATTTAGCCCATTTTCTGTAGTGTCCAGGATGAAATCGAATGATCGACACCAAAATTTTGACAATTGCTCCTGTCTCTGCTTTTTGGCTCATTTAGAATCCACCCCTGGCTGCTTCAGAACGGCTTCCATAGTGCATGTCCAATAATGTCTTTAAAACAACCTTAAACGTTCTTTTTTTAAAATATGCTACTCACCGGGTCGTCAGCGCTGTTCAATGACGTTCCAAAAAAAGTTTCGTAAAGAAAAAACGTTCCTGTAGTGTTTTATTTAGCATTTTGTAAATCCCATTGAGTTCTGTAGGAATAGTCAATATTCCCCTGCCACCGAAAACGGAAATGGGGCCTGTTTACACAGTTGTAGTCTTTTCGCTTCACTCTGTGTACTCCGACGTCGAGAATCAAGAATCCACCTTTCGTATTGATTCTCGACGTCGGAATACACAGAGTGAAGCGAAAAGACTACAACTGTGTAAACAGGCCCCATTTCCGTTTTCGGTGGCAGGGGAATATTGACTATTCCAACAGAACTCAATGGGATTTACAAAATGCTAAATAAAACACTACAGGAACGTTTTTTCTTTACGAAACTTTTTTTGGAACGTCATTGAACAGCGCTGACGACCCGGTGAGTAGCATATTTTAAAAAAAGAACGTTTTTAAGGTTGTTTTAAGGACATTATCGGACATGCACTATGGAAGCCGTTCTGAAGCAGCCAGGGTTGGATTCTAAATGAGCCAAAAAGCAGAGACAGGACCAATTGTCAAAATTTTGGTGTCGATCATTCGATTTCATCCTGGACACTACAGAAAATGGGCTAAAAGTGTTAAAAACCGGAATTCTCCTTTAAGTAAAAAAAATATTTAAAAAATAGAAATTTTTTTCATTTTAAAATCTAAAGTGTTTTTTTAAGTAGAGAACAACAATCGTTCAGTTTGAACGTGAAACGTTAGCCTTTACATGCAAAACCCAATCAAGCACCGCAACATATTTTTGCAAAATCTTTGAACATACATTTCCCAAATATAAGAGGAACATCGTAGTTTGGTGTAAAGAAAGCAATTTAGTTTTATTATAATTTAGTTTGTTGCAAGGATTTTACAGTTTGAAGAAATAGAACATTACACCATATGCCAACCGTCAAAAGGATGTGCATGACAAGGAAGGGCTATATATACTGCATGCATCATTTAGAAAGCTGACATTGTATTACTTCTTGAGCTCTTGAGTTACTCACTGTCACTGGTAGGTGCTTCGGCCAGAGAGTAAGTGTTGGGGCCGGTAAGATTTAAGGAGGGCTGGCCCTCACACACTGGATTTAGGACCACGTTAACAGGATTTGAATGGAGACAAAGCCCCTACTTTAGCAAAGACTAAGAGTCTAATGGACCAAGAGTGACAATCTGAGGTTTGAACCAGCGACCTTATGGCCCCTCCAAGAGTCCAGTGACCTGCTCTCTACTCATTAGGCCACCAACCTCTGTACAATTCTCTATATTTTTATGGTTTTAAAATTTAATAAGCAATATTTCCACTGACAATTCCTAAAAATACCTGTACTGCACTCAAGTCATCCATCCATTTTCTAACACGCTTATCCCAAGTGGGGTCGCAAGGGGTGTCCAGGTCTGCAGCTGTCTACGGGCGAGAGGCGGGGGACACCATGGACAGGTCGCCAGTCCATCGCAGGGCAACACAGAGACAAACATCCATTCACACACACACTCACACCTAAGGGGACTTTAGAGAAGCCAATTAACCTAACAGTCATGTTTTTGGACTGTGGGAGGAAGCCGGGGAACCCGGAGAGAACCCACACATGTTCAGGGAGAACATGCAAACTCCATGCAGAAAGACCCTGGGCAGGGAATCGAACACAGAACATTCTTGCTGCAAGGCAGCAGTGCTACCCACTGTGCCACTCAAGTCATATTTTCTAAATTATTTTACTCAAAAGGAAGTCCCTTTCTCATGTATTGCTCTAAATGTTTGATGATAAAGTAGGGGCTTTAATGTCCAACAACGGTGAGTATAAAATGACTATTTTGGTGAAATGAAACCCATTTCTGGGAATAAAACTCTGAAAAGGTAAAAGTTGTACGTTTATGTACCGTATGTTAATACTGTTTATAACCTCTGCTTCTAACACCAAGCTGATAAAAAGGCTTTACATAAAAGTCAAGATTAGAATTAGATGGAATTAATTTCCTCTGTCCTTTCAGCAGATAGAATAATGAACACAAATCTAACAGAAACTAATTTCCTTTCTCATGCTGTTATACCATTTATGTGACAAAGAGTGTGCAGGTCCATCTTTAAGAAACAAAACTGCTGGAATCAGAAAAATTAAACCGTTTTCTATTTCATATACGCTCCAACTAAACATTAACACAAAACATTCTCTTTCAAGTCATTCCATTTCTCCACTCTGATCTGAAAGACTTCTTAATGTCGTCTGTAGCCACGCTCTAAAAGGGATCTGACACAACTGCTGTAAAATTTAAGTTCACAAAAAGCCCAACGGGTAATGCTGACAGGATATTTAAAAATGAAGCGTGTCATTTAATAAATCGAGCCAAACGCTTGATTGCTGAAGTAATGATGTGACAATCGATACAAAAAGCCGCTTCCCTCATATTTACTCATTTTCTTTGTTGTTTGTCATTCAATTCCTTACATGCAAACAAATGAAATGATTGAACTTGTTAGCTTTGCAGATTTTTCTTCTTTTTATTTTCCCCCGTTTTCATTTCTGCATTTCAAATACAAATTTAAACCCTGATCTCCGTAAAATTGCCTTTGGGTTAGGATTTAAAAAATCTTACTTGCATAAAACAGCATTTGCTTTTTGCAAATATCAACTTCGGAAAGCGCATGCCTATATTGGAAAACACAACAGGACAACAGTTTAGCACGAAACTGTGACTGAAATATGCAGCCATGCAATCCATGGAACATCAAATTTCCGTCCATTCATTGTATTTTAACCAAATTGTAATTGAGATTTGTTCTGCATCTGCTTCGGAGTGCAGCACTGTGCACTGTGTTTGTCACAGAGAGAGTTTTATCTGAAAGGTATCGTCTGTCCGTCAGCTGATGCGAGTTCCTGTCTCTTATAACACCGCTGGAGCTGTGGGAACGTCTCTGTAGTGTACAACTGTGACGCAACTTCAATTATATTGTTGCAGGGTCACATTGTTGTGAAATGGATAATAGCTGCTATCAAATTAGGATACTTAATGTAACAGCTTGGCTTTTTTAACAAACCACAAATGTCCTTCATGATCTGTTAAGGATGCAATTGTTTAGCATAACTAGATTTTTTTTTTTTTTTGCTCTCTTAGCTCTGATAATAGCATCATTCATCATTTCTTTCATGGTAACACGTTCACTTGCCGGAGGACTTCTTTTTAGGCAACTTTTTACTAATTTGGCAGAAACATATTGTTATGGAAAAAGATAAAGTATCTCTTACAATTACGTGTTGAAAGTGTTTGCTTGTTGTTGTTGGAATAACCTGCTGTGTTGTTATTAACACAGCATGAAATTAAGAATATCCAAAAGGTTTACTCTTTAATAAAACAATAACATCAGAGACAAAACATTGGTATCCTTGAACAACATAATCAATACTTAGATAACAGCTAAAAAACAAAACAAAAAAAACCCAAATTTGATTATGACTGAGAAATCATTTACTATTTAAGGGGTGAAGCATTATCATTGTATATGAAAAGTAAAATAAGTAATTATTGACCCTGTTTCACAAATTAAATACCTAAAGTGAAGCTGTGCCTTAAAGATCCACTAAATATTTAACTGTGAGATTCCTCAACAAGGCGTATTGATCCAGCTTAGAGTTATTCTAGCAGTTATACATTTTTTATACACACTCAATCCCTGCAGGTTTGAAAGAAAAGGTTATCTAAGCATATTTATAAAGGTACTTCTACTAATTAATAGACAAGCCCTGTATGAGTTTTTTTTTCTTTGTATTTTTGGTAATAGTATAATCTTAAATAAAGCAAAAAAAGTTCAATCTCTGTATAACTTAAAAGTTATCAAAATATAATTTAGGTGAAGCCGAAGCAAGTAACCTTGCTCTAATTAGGAAGTAACTGATTATTCATAAAAACAAGCATACTGCTAAGCACAAAATAAGGTTGATTCAAGTCAGAAACAAGTCCCCTTTCTATCAAGTAACCATAAATAAATACTATTAGTAACAGATAATATCCTTCAAAATACACATTTTCCAGAGCCAGTCCTGTTATGTCAAATCAAGCAAAGAAAAATTATGCAAAACAAAACTATTTTGTTAAAAAAAAAAACACAAGGTGCAAAAGAATAAGTCATCACAGAAGAAACATCTAAGTGAATCCTTGTTCCTCTCTGCCTAAGAATAGTAATAAATCAAGATCATGATTATTTGAAAATTAGAAAAGCATGAGTTTGAGCTAAAAAACTACAATGAACTATAACTGCTAATATGGGATTGGAGAGTCATGTACTGGAATACAGACAGGCAGTTAAGGAAACAGCAGGAGACGGTAATGCACAGGTAGTGGATTCATTATTTTATCCTCTAGAAGCTGATATAAAAAACCTCAACAAATGTTGATGCTGTTAAAATTTTCCCCAACAACCTCGCTGGTGTTCCCACGCTGAAATAATCAGGCTGAGCACAGCTAATGAATTGCTTAGGTTAACACTAGGGCTGAAACTAACAATTATTTAGCAAATCGATTCATCCGTTGATTATTTTTTTTATAATTGGTTAATAATCGGATAGCCAACGATTGTTTAAAGAAGGCTTTTTACCAAATTAAACCAGGTGAAACTCAAGCTTTTCCAGCTGAGGAGTTCTGGGTGGAGCATATTGCCAGAGAATATATATATATATATATATATATATATATATATATATATATATATATATATATATATATATATATATATATATATATATATATATATATATATATCTATCTTAAATGCACAATGTTTGTATATTTTTTCACAATCTCGGTATAATTACTGCTCTAAGTGGGTTGCTCTGTAATCGGAAGACATGTTTCTATACTGCAGTTAACAATCAATCGATTACTAAATTAGTTGACAATTATTTCAATAATCAAATAATCTGTATATAATCTGTAAGTTAAACATGTGAATGACTTACATGAACTTAGAGCCCAAAGTGATCTACAGGGTGTCCCCCCCCCTATGTAAAATGTCTGTGTTTCTGTCTTATTGGAGCGGCTGTACCAAAACTGATTTTCCCTATGGGATTAATAAAGTATTATTGAATTGAAATAGATGCCTTAAACATTCAAACAACCAAATGTTGTTCAATGTTTGTGTGGCAATATGGATAAACAATATGGAAATTAAACAATCAGGGAGTGACAGAAGATTTGAAACAATGCAAACAAACATTGCTAGTTTCAAAAACAATTTATTTTTTTTTGAGTTTTTTTAATAACTTTTTAGTGGCTCGTTTTTCTGACAGTAGGCTGACAGAAAAGAGGGGGAGAGACATGCGGTAAAGGTCACAGGCCGGATTCGAACCCGGGTCAGCCGCGTCAAGGACTAAGGCCTCCGTTCATGGGTCATGTGCACCAACCACTGCGACACCTGTATGGCATACTGCAATATTTAATGCGGAGTTTAAGATTTATGACAATTTTTTTTTGTATCAATAAGAACCTAAAAATTAATGGAATTTTAAATGCCTATGGCACTGACACAACCTTAGATAGAAAAAGTCTATTTATAACTGAATTATGTTAAACTGCTATCAGGTTGTGTACTACAGTCTGTAATTTGTGAAATCTTTGCAAAAAAAAATTTTTTTTTTTATTTCGTCTGGTGAAACAAATATTCTGTATTGTCTCATCTCATGGGCTTAATTTGCTGTCAATCCCCTTTCACCCTTTATATACTAAAACAGTTATTAATTATGTGTACATATAAAGCTCGTTCTTTGCTAGTAGTGCAGATTAGGTCTATAAAATAGTTTCTCTATACAAAAGATAATCAACTTAGAATAATATATAATACCATGGCTCACCGCATGCATAGAATCCATTAATGGTTCAACATTTAAAAACAAAAACACCTAATATTTCCAGCATAACCTAACAGCTACAAGCTTTATCTTTCAAAAAAAGGAGCTCTGTGTTGAAAGGGAAAAGAAATAAGTGGGGGTCAAGGATCAAGCAAAAATCAAATGTAAATAAAATCAGCTTGAACTCCTGCCAATCGATACCAAGCCAAGTCTTGAAAAAACCTGATTCCCAAAGTCCCCACACCCACAAAGAAAAATAATGATTTCCTGTTTCTAACTCTAAAGAGCAGCCGTGGTAACCTCCTCAACTTCCAACACATCTACCTCCTAAGGTAGAGATGCCCCACTCCTCACACCATCATCTCTGCTGTCTCTTGTGCTACACTCACAATCTGTTTTCATCTCCAACTTCACGCTGGTTTGGGGTTTCAGCTTCATTTCTAATTCAGCAGTTTGCAGGGGAAACGAGCACAGTTTGAGCTGAGGTAAAGCTTTTTTCATTCTTAAGAAGCTTGGGAGGATTTACCTGTACTCTTGGATGTCGTGGGATTTTGCACTGCCTGCGATTTGCTGTGGTACCCTCTCCAACGACATTTTGTGGGTGAGCTGGCTGCTTGGTGTCACGTCACACTCGCTCTCCTCTGGCTCTTTATCTTCATATTCATTTAAAGTCGGTAGTAATCCAGACACCCCCTTTTCATTACCAGAAACAGGGCTCTGGTCACAGCACAGCTTGGGGCTCTCTCCTTCTGTCCGTGTGTATTCCAAATATATATCAGATTTAAGGAACAGAGGATAAGTGTTTTCCTCCATCCTGAGCTGTATCTCAGTCTGAGCCTGGTCAAACATTGCAGGATCAATGTGTAGCCTAATCAAACAATCTCTGATGAAAGACTTAGTAGCTGGTTTGATTTGCCTGGAGACGATCCCATTGTTGTCCTGGATGTACTTTTTGTAGATAGCTTTCGCCAGTTTTACTTTCTTCTCCTCGTTCCCCTCGTTGGCTTCTAGCTTACGGAAGCCACTGCATGCAAACCAGAAGTCCAGCATATCTGCACAGTCTTCATTCTTGAGGAATTTTCGGAAGAGATGGATGCCATCCTGGTCATCCAGGAGGGAATGAAGAGACTCTGCCCATTTTAAGTAGGGTGGCGTCGGGGAAGCACTGCCCTCTGGCTCATAGCCCAGATCCAAGTCTGGCCGTCTGGGTGTAGCCACAGAAGCTTCACTTTTGGTGCCCTCGTTCTTGGAGGAGAAGGTGAAATTGCTGTGTTGGCGACCATCGCTGCACACCAGCTCTCCTTCCTCCCCGGGAACCGGAGGTCTGGGAGCATTCTCAGTAAAGCTGCCTCCCAAGTCTGAGATGCAGCCTCTTTGGTCGTTTATGCTCATAGTCCCGGCATCCATGAATCCTGGAGTGCCCACAGTGCACAACTGTTGGATCCAGTATTCTAGTTATGTTTCTCTGGAAAATCTCCTGCAAGGAGGGAGAAATATATCATGAGAGGCAGCTCACATGACCGGAAAGGCAGATCATCGCTAGCCTCGTCATACAAAGGCTCATTCTTAGACTAATGGTGAATCAGCAAATGATAAATTGAATTATCACACATGCATTCACAAAATTATGTATAACATGTGTGAATATACTGCTGGAGCAATAGGTTTAAATAACTTTAATTACATACTGTGAAATTTTGAAAACTGTCCTAATAAGAGCTGGTTAATAAATCAATATAATAATTTTAATATTTAATATAAATAATATCATATTTCAATAGACACAGGAACGATATCAATATAAAATACATCTGATAAAACTCCAGGGTATATAAGCAGAGGAAATAAACCACTCAACCTCTCATAAACAAACTGTAAAAGGTTGGTAGTACGGCTGACCTATTTTTAAAGGTTATATTTAAATAAGGTTAGGGTTACACTTTAAATGTGGCCTTTTTTTCTCTCGGTCATTATTTCACATAGGTTAACAAAACACTAATCAATAATCATCACAATATTTACTGTAACTTGTCTTTATGTCTACAAAAAAAAGATTTTCTTATCAGCTTTGTCATTTTTTCTTTATTTCAGCCCAAAACAAGCAAAAGAAAATATTACCAAAAATTAACATATGATGCAGAAAGAAAAAAAAGATTAAAAAAAATATATAGAAACATTTCTTCCTCACAGCCTATCCCTGCAGGGTCACAAATAAAAGCACGCAGTCATACTCTCAGGTCTGGTTGCAGGTCTGGGCTCTCTCTTCTCTGCAGGGCGTGATGGGCAGGTGCTCCTCATCACCGCTAATTAGAGCCTTTCTTAAGGAGTGGAAACCAGGAGGAGGGCATCAGTTCTTTCTCGCTTCCACCGTGGTATTTGACCGACCAATCTCTTTTCTGAGTTACCTCCAAGCCAGTTCCTAATTCCGTGTCTCTGTTTCCTTCCTAGAACCATTGAGAACCTCCAAGCCTGGACCTCCTAATCAAAGGATCGCCAGTCTGCTTTGGTCCTCCTACCTGAGCTCACCTGCCTGTCCACCTTCCAATACCATCTGCACTAGAGAAAGAACCACCAGATTCACACCAACCTCCAGAACCCCGGACACCACCCTCCCTGGGTCAAACCAAGCCTCTACCTCCATGAGTACTCTACAATTCTCATCAGTGCCAGCCTGTTTCTCACTAGTGTCCTCTTCCTTCTCAACAGAACTAGTCACAATCAGCCTGCCAGCACCAACTCTGCATACACTGCACCTTGACATTAAAACTTTTTTTTTTTTTTTATTCATTCATTTCATTGAATACAAAAAAAAAAAACAGCCTATCAAATTTTTGATATACTAAAAAATAAAAAATACACCTCCATCCATACCTACATATCCATCTGTATACATTACATACATATATACACACAGACATACTACATATGTATTTCTAAATTTTTTTTTTTAAAACAAAATGAAATGAAAGGCAGCAGAAAGAAGAAAAAAATCTTATAATATCTGCCCCTTTTTTCTCAGCTCTGAAACTAAACAGGGAAAAAAATGGTTATCTTCTGCAACAAAAACAAAGTCAGTCGTCAATCTCAACTAAACAACAATAGTATGAGCTCACTTTATACTATTTCATACTTCTTCAAGAATGCAGTCTTTAACATTCTCTTAAACATGTGTAGTGATTTGGCATTTTTAACATCATTTTGTAGTTCGTTCCACAGTTTGACTCCTTGTATCGAGGTACATCGTTCTTTCAAACTGGTTCTGAATTTGGGTTTCTTAAAAATCTGTGTCCCCTTAAGGTTATAACTGCTCTCTCTCTTTGCAAAGATTTTTTGGATGTTTGAGGGTAATGTATTTAGGTGTGCCTTATACATAACTAACAAAATATTATAATCAACTAAATCATAGAATTTTAATAACCTCAATTTACAAAACAATATATTGGATGGGTATTTGCCATGTTTTCGAGTAATAACTCTTATAGCCCTTTTTTGCAAAACAAAAACAGATTTTGTACTAGTATAACATGCCTTTCCCCATACCTCAACACAATAGACCAAGTGTGGAACAATTAATACATTATACAACATATACAGTGCATGATCGTTCAGAAAATCCCTTACTTTATAAAGCACTGCAATTGATTTGGCTATTTTTGTTCTTAAATAATTCAAGTGGGATTTCCATGTTAATCTCTCGTCAATAATCACACCCAAGAACTTCACCTCACTAACTCTACAAATCTCTACACCATCAACTTTAAATCAACTTCCTTAAAACAAATCGTCCGTCTCCGTGGTTGCCCTGATTCAGAGTCAATCTTTTCTAAACATGACACAAGATGGCTCTTTGGCACAGTGGCATGATGGACAGCCATTGCATGACAGAGCTAGACACATAGATACTCTCATTATCCGAGAAGAGTTGATGTCTGATCAGAAAATTATTTTATAACAGGTCAAGTGTCATGATGTTTAAGATGAAAAATTACTCCTTTTCTAACTGGAATGAGGGCAGTCTTGGCACTGCTGGAGGACATTGCAAATGAAAAACAATTTTTTTTGTTTGTTTTGTTTTTCAGAGTTCATACTGCCCTGCCGGCACATAATTATAAGAGTGTTATTAGCAGCTTGAATGAACCAGGGTAATTATTTAAAACTGGACTCGGCGTAACAGAAGAAAACTAGGAGGAACTCGGCTTTGCTGCTGTCAGTTCAAGTTCTTCTGTTCTTTCTAACAAGAGATTTTAGAGGGAATATCTGTTATTTTTAAGTGACGCTCTGAATTGTTTGAGATTTAAAGTACTTCACTACATTAATGTGGTGACAGTCCTTCTAATAGAAATATTGAAGACATATCCAGGTTATTACTATGCTATGGTCTACATTTGAATGATCTGCATTGAACAGTTAGTTAATTTAATGCAGCAGCTAAACGGCTGTTTTGATTTGAAGGACATTGTAGGAAAAAACGAGTAAATTTTAACAAAATCCAGTTTTTAGTCTCTGGTGTCAATTAAGCAGTCGCTGGTTTGCTATAATTCTCTACAAACACTCTTCATTGTTTGCAGACAAGGTGTCTGTTACTAAGATTATTTGAACACATAGTCTGCACCTTCCAGGTATTTATATTTATTTGCAAACCTTTTCAGGGATGAGGACTGGTCATTTCAAGCAGTCCTTGCAGCTGAGTAAATTTCCTCCAAATTAGGATTTATAAAGAAAAAGAGTTGGTTGTTTATACCTACAGCCAGTTTCAACAGTTTATATGCTGAGCTAAAAAAAAAAAAAAAAAAAAAAAGCTGCCTTACAATCTATACGGTTAGAAAAAAAACGTCAAATTGACTTTGAATGACAGGTTACTACATTGATCCTCATTCCATGTGGTGATTTTAATTAAACATCCAGGCTAGAGCTTAATGGTAAATTCATCTGCAGAGCTGCATGCTGGAAATTATTTTAGAGAACACATTTTTCAAGGACATATTTGCCTCCTCATGGAGCAATCCTGACTGGAGCTTGAGCAGCTTATGGCTAAGCTTCTGCGATACAGCCTCTCTATTTAATTTAAGGTTTAATGTAGCCACGGCTGACTGGATAAATTCACACATCCATGCTGAAGCCACTATTTCCTGACAGTTTGCTGGCAGATCCAAAACATGGAGGAAAAAAAACAACTTGACACTTAACCTTGTCTTCATCTCACATTTCCCTGTAATTTACTTCCCTATTTATAGCTCTGAGCACTTGTTGACTCAGATAGGACTAAAAAAAAAAAAAAGGATGATTATTAAGATTTTGTGAAGGCAAGAACATTGAGTCTCTGGATATGATTCTAGGAGAAGTGTTGCTTTCTTGGTTGCCAGCACCCTTGCCTTTAGGGCACACCCACTCTATGTCTAATCCAATACATACAAAAATCATTTATCTTGATTGAACAAAAGACAAAACTGGCTGCTCTGCAATCAGCTGCTGCTGAAACCTAAAGTCCAGCTTTTGCAAGGCCAGATGTGCAGGAATGACCAATCCTAATCCTACTGGGTGTGCATAACAGCTGGAGGTGCAGGTTGATGGATCCATCACCTATATCACATCAAGCTGGAGCTCCAGGCTTGAACGGCTACGATTACAGGTGCAGGTGTCCTTTTACACCATTTACACTGATTGAAACCTGAGGCGAGCACGGCAAATGTCATTTGGCTCCTAAACTGTATCTTGAGGTGAGCGTCTCATCACGTCTTGGCCAGGAGCAGCAGCGGAGGATGGGGGAGGGGAGCCACAAACAAACTCCATACAATCAGAGAGAGAGTGAGAGAGTGAGAGAGAGAGCCAGGCCTATCAGCAGCCCACCGACAAGTGCAACAACTTTGTCACACTATTAATATCTGCGCTGTGACCGCAAACAGCAGCCAAACTGAGCGCACAACGCGCAACGCGCAACTGCCCCGCACGCAGATAAAAAGGGAGGAAAAAAAGCAAACCGGGAATCCCACGATTATATTGCAGGCTGCAAAGCGATGGGTCTATTTCCATCTACTAGCGCAGTGTCTCATTCCTGATCGCAGCACAGAGAGAAAAGTGACAGATACTTCACCGCTTCAGATCCTTCGGCCGCTTGTGTGCGCATCGGGCAGCTGGAGCGACACCAGTGGCTGCGGACAGCGTCATGGTTGGGACGCGCAGGACTTTACCAACAACAAAGAGGACAGTCCGCTCTCCTCTCCATGGCTGTCTGAGTGTCTGTGCGGAGCTGAGGCTGAACAGCAGAGGATGCACAGCGCCGCGCCTGTTCGCTGCACAAACTGCCTCTCATTGTGGCACACTTTCCTCCCCTCTCTCTCTTTGCCCTTTTCCACTATTCTTCAAATGATCCTGCCTAACCCTTTCAGAATGGATCAACTGAAGATGGCATGGGTAAATTCGCATTTATTAAAACACCAATTCCTTGTATTTTAAAAAGTAGTAAGCCTAACCTAGAAATGAGTGTAGTTTTAATTCAAACTACTTAAATTTGGACCCAAAATTATAGAAAATTCCTCTAAAATAAACAAGCTTTTATCAGAAGTACCTTCTGGCTCTAGAGATTGTAATTGTGAAGGTATTTTGGTTTAAATTAAGATAAAAATCTTAGTTTGTTTTTATTTTTTATCAAATATTAGATCCAGACCTCCTGTAGAACAGAGGCGTAGCCAGAAAGTGGATAGGCACTGGAACCTCAGGGTCAATATACACTGTTCAAACAGGAACAAGCACAAGGTCCATATTTCTAAATAAAGACAAACTATAGTTTCCTACAGCTTTTGCTAACAAACAGATGCATATATTTAAACATTTGTCTAGATAAAAGGTATATTGAATAAAATTCTTTCAGGTTTGAGTTGGAGTGAACATCTTTTCCATCGTCATTACTTACCTACTTTTATCGACATCATTCTGCAATAAATTGATATTTACAAGTACTAATATCTACATAAATTAGTAATTTAATAGGTGTTTATTTAAAAAAGTTATTTACAGTATCTATGATTTCACTGAAGACTCTTAGACGACTTTCAGAGACACATAATTTTCCTCTTTACGGTATATAACACAAAATCTAGTTCTGAAAGAGCATGAATTCTGTAATAATCATCTCTAATATTGGTATATTAACCCTGTAATGCCAAATGTATCATATTTGATACATACGGTTTCTGAAATGTTTTGCATCTGACACCTTCGCATAATTTAATGGTAAAAACTTTGCTCAAAATCCTATTGTACACAATCAGATATACCTGATAACAGAGGGCAGAAGACTACACAAAAAATAATCTTGACTTATTGCATAGTAATAAATTATTAATATCAAAAATGTATTTCTGTTTTTTCGTTTTACATATTTTGTTAAAAGGCCAAATAAGGACTTCAAACCAAAAAAAAGTAATTTTCGGTTTTGTTTTATTCTTGGATCTGGCTTTAAAGGGTTAATGTGCATAATTAACCACAGTGTTTTTGTTGTCAAGTAATTGTTAATATATATAAAATTAAAATCTTTTGAAAATTCTACTTGAGAGGAAAAAAATGGTAGCCACAGGGGTGGCCAATGATTGGTTAGCTAGATGACCCCCCCATCTAGCTCCGCCCCTGCTTATACACAAATCTGTGCAACCAGTTAAGCTTTGGTAGACTACATTAAAACACAAACCATCATTATTAAATAAATTAAGCAATACCTTTAGAACATCTTAAGGTACATTAGGCACAGTTTGGCCAAAATCAACCCCAAGCCCCAGTTATGTTATTAACATGATTTTTACCTATATAATAATAACTGAATGAAAAAAAAAAATCCAACTATAGCTAAAATAAAGGCAGTGTCAAAATTATGGGGCTGCATCATTAAAAAGGATTCAGCAGAGTGGACTGAACAGAGATTGTGCAGAGATTCAGGCATCGTCTCTGAGAGACAAGGGAGAGGAGATCTCATGCTGGTGGGGAGCTGGTAGCCGTAGCCCTTTGAAAATGAAGTAAATCCTTAATAATCTAAGCAGATATCTGAGTTGTATAAAACCACTTTCTCAAAACACATTGGAAGTTTATTTTGGTGACAAAGTGTTATACATATTTTCAGTGTTGTCTGCCGTTTGCTTCAACCTACCGTACTATAAATCATTGGATAGTGTGAGCAATGAGTTATCCACCACAGCCATCCTTTAAATATTAAAAAAAGGACATATTTGTTTACCACATGCAGTGGTGAATTGTTACCAGAAGGGTCAGGGCTTTTTTCTTGGGGTCAAAAAAACAAAAGAACTTCAAACACAAAATAAGAATCCAGGGAAGAGCACATGCTTTAGGATATTGAGTGAGCCACAAATCCAAGGTTACAGACCCTGATCTAACAGATGAATGCTGTGATTCTATCATAAATCAAGTGAAGCTTTAAGTTTTGCTATAATTTCCAGATAATTGTCAAAGTACATTGTAAAGATGAAATATAAAATTGGTCCATCCATCAATCCATTTTCCGTCACGCTTATCCCTGCTAGGGTCGCAAGGGGTGTTGGTGCCAATCTCCAGCTGTCGCCAGTCCATCGCAGGGCAACACAGAGAAAAACAGGACAAACAACCATTCATGCACACAATCACACCTAAGGAAAATATAGAGAAGCCAATTAACTTAACAGTAATGTTTTTGGACTGTGGGAGGAAGCCAGAGTACCCAGAGAGAACCCATGCATGCACAGGGAGAGCATGCAAACTTCATGAAAAAAGAGCCCGGGCTGGGAATCGAACCCGCAACATTCTTGCTGCAAGGCAGCAGTGCTACTCGTGTTACGTTCAGACCGCACGCACTAGAGGCAGAAAAACAGCTTTTTTACATGCAAAGTCGATAGTTGACACCCATCAAGGTGCAGCAAAAAGATCCTGCAGCAGGAAAGCAGCAGCAACTGGAGTTGGAAAAATGTAACTTTTGCTGCTTGACGCAACATACCAACCAATCAGAGAAGCTGATCTGGGAGGTGGCAGTGAGAGAGACACAGCACTGCTGATGCAGAGCGCTATGATCACTGATCATCAATGTTGAGGGAAACTAGAATCCCAGCAGCATAAATGCAAAGAAATCACAAATTTCAAAATATGTTTTTTACAAAACAGGTTGAGCAGCAGTTTGTTTTAGAGGTATTTAAGACAATCTTCATTCCAGCCACAGGCTGCACAAAATTACTTCACAGATTATATCTTTCAAAGATGCTTTGATCCCTTTGTTCATCTTCCTATGTTGGTATTCTCTTTTCCTGTTATGTTGTGCAATCAAGCTGCCATTGTCACACATCTCACAACAAGGAAGCATTTCTTTAGAAACTTGTGATGTCATTCAAAAAGTGTCAAATCAGAGGAGTCTTTTAACTTCAAAAGAACAAAGGATTTCATGTTTATGTTGCAATCTGTTATCAGTTATAAATCAGGCCACCAAAGAGGCTGAAAAATGCAGGATTAAAAGCCTCCTGTATGCAAACCATAAGTTAATATACACAGTTATTTTTGTTTAATCCTGTTAATGTGTCACTAGCATCAAGGCAACTTTTTTTGTTTGCAGCTCATCTTCAGTAAAAAATAATGTAATGGCAGTGTCAAATGTAATGTAATATATAATATACTAGTTTGATCTTTTATGTCTGAAAAGATGCCAATTTTTTTTTTTTTTTTTTTTGATAAAAACACAAAGTAACAAATTTATTTTGTAATCATATCCCAGTTCAAACAGCTATCTTAACATTTTGGAATAATCTTACAGAACTAAAATAATTGGCTTAAAAAATAGCACCTTTAACAAGCAGGAAAAATATGATCAAAGTCTAGTTTAGTGATTTTCAATGTGTCTGAGTCTCTTTAGAAGCACTTGATCCTGCCATCATTGTGACAACTTTGTAATACAAAGACCAAAAGAGCAACGGCAGGACAAGTCTTTTCTGTTCTTTGATATCAGGAAGTCAAGCTAAGCTCTCAAATCTTTTTACTGAATCGAAAATGAAAGGCTGATGGAACATCACAAAAACATAAAGATGTCTCAGATCACATTCTTCTATGGAATGAATTAAAACCAGCAACATGAACAGGAAACACCTGGAAACAGATTACAGTGAGACCTAGACTTAAAATATTTATACAATCAGAAATAGTGATTTGTGCTGCACTGATACAGATACCAGTATCGGTTGAGGCCCTGATACTGCACTAAAAAGGTGGTATTCTTGTGGACTCCCTTTGTATTAATCTTTTTCCTGCTTCACAAAGGTAGGCGGCAGCTTGACAAAGCAATTATTTTACATCCAAGTAGTATGCAGTTCTTCATATATATTCACACACATCAATTTCAAACAGAAGGTATCGGTATCGGCCAATACTGCACAGCCAGGTATCGGGGCCAAAAAATGGCATCTGCGCATAACTAATAGTAATGTTACTAATAGTAACTTTTTGAAAAGTTGAACCATCTGACTGGTTTAAAAAAGATAAAGAAATAAGGTAGAATCTCCAGCGTTAAACCGTACTATTTACTTCAAAGATATATACTAAAAAAGAAAAAGTGTTAAATGAGTATGACTCTGCTTTAAGTTTGCAATATGATGATGGGGAAAATGCTGATTTGAGTGTAAATCAATGATTTTTACCTTAGGTTTGATTGTCATCCTCATGTATCCATCACGTCTGAATCCTTTCAATGTCGATTCCATTTTAAGATGATTTAATGCACTATACTGCAGTAATAATAAAGCCAGTCTAATTTCCCAGCATTGGAAAGGTCTGACTGGAGCAGAATATTTCTGTATTACTTTATATGTGCAGTCCAATTCTTCCTGTAAGATAAAAAAAAAAACACAATCTAAATTCAGTTCACACAAGCCAACATTTAATGTTTTCACATTACCTATAGAGCAAACCCTGAATTACAGAAAAATGGATAAAGTAGTATGCTGCCCCCTGCTGATCTAAAGCTTTAACAACAACAGTGGCTCCGGATGAAAGAGTTTGCAACTCAGTTCAAAGCCCAGCGCCAGCTTTCAATGTCATTGTGTCCTTGGGCAAAACACTTCACCCACATTACCTATTGATGGTGCAATGAGGCCTTGATTCTGTCGGTGAGCCCCCCAATTTAGCTATAATTAACTCACCACCAACAGTGTGTTAGTGTGTGCATGATTGGGTGAATTACTGAATGTAAGGTAAAGCACTTTGGTGTCTATATAAGTACAGGCCATTTAAAATTTGCAGGCAATTTAGTTCTTACAAGATACATAAATAAAACATGTCACAGGTTGCATTCTTCACAAAAACAAAAGAACAAATAACTGTTGTTTCCCATCTAAATATACAGAAAGACCGAAATCTAGATATACAGGGCTTTAATTGCCACGAAGCATATTTCTATATATATATATATATATATATATATATATATATATATATAGAGAGAGAGAGAGAGAGAGAGAGATACCTCAAGAATAACACTGATCAAGGGTGTAACTTTGTGATGAAAGTTGGTGGGGACACTCTTAGGATGGGGGCTGATGGACCCACAGTTACTTGACACAAATGCTTTCAATAGGGTTTGTATTTTCCAAAAATGAGCTCAAACATGTATTTATTGAATGCTTTCCTATTGTTGAGATCACGAAAGGACCAAAATGTATTGATATTTATATTTATAGGTAGTTAGATATTAATGTATAAAAAAGGATGAACAACAGCCGATTACAATGCCAACAGCAATACATCATAACTCCCTAGTATGTACACTATTTAAGTTTCATTCATCCATCCATCAATCCATCCAGAAAAATATGGATTTTTTTCCCTTTCAGCTACATTTGTGAATATCCTCCTTTAAAAGCAACAAAATAAAATGTTGAAATTTGTCCCACATATTGCCAAATCTATGTATTGATATTATGGGTTGGTACATGTCCACACCAGTCCTTCAGAAAGTTACGCCTGTGACACTGATCAATTATCTTGCTTAGTTTAAATCTATATACATTGTTTAGAATTGCAATGCAAGTTAAAATGATTTATCGGTAGATGTTTAATTAAATAGTTTACAAGCATATGGGGGTTTATTTGGTATGTTTCTGTGCTAAAAAACCTAGAAACATCAGTTTTTTAACACATGATTTATAATAAGTAGGAATGTAGTAGTCAAAGAGAAGGTGTTAAGATTCAGACTGAGGACCCAGAAACAACCAGAACACAACAGGAAATAACTTTAAAAGATTTATTGAGGGAATAATGCAGGTTTTTCAGGATCAGAGGAGCCAAAGCCTCTGGAGGGGAGAGAACAAGTTAGTGGCTGAAATAGATGATTTTAGGTTCAGACTGATAAGCCACTAACCTTTCTTAATATCCAGGTGGGGTGTCTTGGTTCCAGAGAACTTTGGTTGCTTGACAGAATTCTCACTGAGGCTTGGCAGAGTATCTTGGTCAAAGGAGGTCCAGGATCAGAGCCAGGTGATCAGATTTTCAGAGAATCCAAAACAGAATCCAGGGACAAGGTCAGGGCACAGAAACAGGTCAGGGATCCAGGCGGCACAAAAAACAGATCCAACAAGGGCTAGGCAGGCTCAAAAAATCAGGAGGCAGAAAAAGGTCAGGATCAGGTAGACAGACAGAAAAATGCTGGATGCTTACTAGCCAAGGCTTTCAGGCAATCTGGCACTGTCAACTAGAGAGAGGCCTGCTTAAGAAGGCTGGCAAACAGGTGAGAGGAATCAGTGGCAATTAGGCTGAGCAGAGGCAGCACAGAGCAGAAGGGGGAGGGGAATGAAAATACTAGTTGACAGGCCAGAAACATAACAGTACCCCTCCCTCAAGGTCCGGCTCCCGACGGACCTCGAGGTTGATCCGGGTGCAGACGATGGAACTCCCGGATGAGGGACTTGTCAATGATGAATCTTGCTGGAATCCATGATCGTTCTTCTGGTCCGTATCCCTCCCAATCCACCAGGTAATGGACCCCACGACCCCTCCTCCTGGAACGGAGGATACGTCGTACGGTGTAGATGGGATCCCCATCAAGGAACCGGGTGGGTGGAGGGGGCCTGGAGGAGGGCTCAAAACGAGACCCAACATAAGGCTTGACCCAGGACACATGGAAGGTGGGATGGATCTTCATGGAGTGAGGCAACTGTAACCGGAGGGCCACTGGGTTCACCACCTTAGAAATGGGAAAGGGGCCGACAAAGCGGGGTGCCAACTTACGACATTCCATTCGGAGTGGGAGGTCCTTGGTGGACAGCCAGACCCTTTGACCAACTTGATAGACAGGGGCTGGGACACGATGACGGTTGGCTGTTCTGGACTGGACCTCTGACATCCTGATTAAGGTCTGTCTAGCTCTCCTCCAGATCCGTTGGCACCTCAAGGCAGCAGTGTGGGCAGAAGGGACCATCGCCTCCCTCTCCTGGATCGAGAAAACTGGTGGCTGGAAACCATAGACAACATAGAATGGTGAGAGGCCAGTGGTACTTGAGGGAAGAGAATTCATAGAGTGTTCAACCCATGACAGACTCTGGGACCACTTTGACGGATCCAACCCACACAGGACACGGAGCTTGGTTTCCATCTCTTGGTTTGCCCTCTCAGTTTGACCATCTGTTTGTGGGTGGAAGCCGGAGGACAGGCTGATGGAGATGCCCAACAGAGAGCAGAACTCTCTCCAGAAACGAGAGACAAATTGGGGACCTCGATCCGACACAATATTGGAGGGGAGCCCATGTAAGCGGAACACCTCCCTGGCCAAGATCTCTCCCATCTCCTTGGCTGAGGGGAGTTTCTTCAGGGGGATGAGATGGACCATCTTAGAAAAACTGTCAACAACAGTAAGAATGACAGTAAACCCATTAGAGGGAGGCAACCCAGTAACAAAGTCCATTGAGAGATGGGACCAAGGACGTGGTGGGATAGGGAGTGGGCGCAACAGTCCAGAAGGGGGACGCCGAGACGGCTTGACCTGGCAACACAGAGAGCAGGATGAGACAAAGTCCTTGACATCTTTGATCAGAGATGGCCACCAGAACTGCGTTTGAACCAATTTCAGAGTCTTGACGATACCAGGATGGCAATATAGGCGGGAGTTGTGACAGAACTTTATCACCTTGTCCACCAGGTTCTCGGGAACAAAGCGTCGATCCCTGGGACATGACTTAGGGGTAGGAAGACTTCGGTTGGCTTCTCTAACTTCTCTCTCCAACTCCAATCTGGTGGCTGCTAGTCGAACTGACTCAGGAAGAATAAAATCTGTGGGACCACTGACCTCAGATTTGGAACTCTCCTCAATCCTGGAAAGGGCATCTGGTTTTACGTTCTTTGTCCCGGGCCTGTAAGATAAGGAAAAATTGAAACGGCCAAAAAATAGAGCCCACCTAGCTTGTCTAGGATTTAGCCGTTTAGCAGATTTCAGGTACTCCAGGTTTTTATGATCAGTCCAGACAATGAACGGGTCCTTTGCCCCCTCCAACCAGTGTCGCCACTCCTCAAGGGCCAGTTTTATGGCTAGCAGTTCTCGATCCCCAATATCATAGTTTCGTTCAGCGCAGGACAAAGATCTGGAGAAATAAGCACAGGGGTGAAGCCGATTGTCGGAAGCACGTTGGCTGAGAATTGCACCTACCCCAGTGCTTGAAGCATCAACTTCAACAATGAACTGCCTTTGAGGATCAGGGGACCGGAGAACGGGGGCTGTAGAAAACAGAGTCTTGAGACGAGAGAAGGCCTTCTCAGCCTGCTCATTCCAGGAGAACTTGATCTTCACAGACGTCAGGGCATGAAGAGGAGCAGCAATCTTGCTGTAATCACGAATAAAACGGCGGTAAAAATTGGCAAAACCAAGGAACCTTTGCAACTGTTTACGATCTGAGGGAGTAGGCCATTCAGAAACAGCAGAAACCTTGGAAGGGTCCATTATCACTTTATTTGGAGAGATAATGAAACCAAGAAAAGAGGTGTGGGTAGTGTGAAACTCACATTTCTCAGCCTTCACAAACAGATGATTCTGGAGGAGGCGAAGGAGAACAGCTCTGACGTGGCGATGGTGTGACTCCAAGTCTGGTGAATAAATGAGAATATCATCCAGGTATACAAAAACAAATTGTCCCACCATGTCGCGAAGAACATCGTTAACCAAGGCCTGGAAGACTGCAGGAGCATTAGTTAAGCCAAAAGGCATGACAAGGTATTCATAATGACCAGTGGGGGTGTTAAACGCCGTCTTCCACTCATCTCCTTCTCGGACACGGACAAGATGGTAAGCATTTCTCAGATCTAGTTTTGTAAAGATCTTAGCACCTTGAATCTGATCAAATGCAGAGTCCATTAAGGGAAGAGGGTACCGGTTCTTGACAGTAATATCATTAAGACCCCGATAGTCTATGCATGGTCGTAAAGATCCGTCCTTCTTGCCCACAAAGAAAAAACCAGCTCCGGCTGGGGAGGAGGAGGGACGGATAACACCTGCCTTAAGTGACTCCTCTACATAATTCTTCATGGCCTGGTGCTCAGGGGCAGACAAAGAATAAAGGCGCCCCCTAGGGGGGGGATGTTCCAGGTAACAAATCAATGGCACAATCATAGGGCCTGTGAGGAGGGAGAGCAGTGGCTCGAGATTTATTGAAAACCTCCTTTAAATCATGATAGACTTGGGGAACCTTGGAAAGGTCAGGATAGGTCTCGTCAATCTTGTTAATGGGAGTGGAGAGGGTAAAAGCAGAAGACAAACATGAGGCAGAACAAGAACTTGACCAGCCTAAAATCTCCTTAGCCCTCCAGTCAATATGGGGGTTATGCTTCCATAGCAATGAAGCTC